TGAACTGAGGCCACTAACACATTTCACAAAGGCAATTGAACAGCTGTCAGAAGGTAATGACTCTCAGCCATTATGTTAGTCATAACAATGAGCTACAAGTTAAAGGAACCCATTATTAATTTCCTGAGTTACCTAGCCCCTCTTCTTACACTTGCCCATTTCTAGTTTTCAGACATTGTACTCAGAATCTTATACCTCTAATGTGATAAATATCTGAAATGTACAGATGATCTATTCTTATTGTGTATGGAACAAAGACAGTACAATTTTCCTTGATTGAATATATTAGATTTCCATCTACTGCTTGCATTGCAGCTATTGAGTATTGTTAAGGGGTTTGCTTTAACAGCTGTTGTTCAATTTCTCTTGAAAAATCTGATGATATAATGTAGCAAAGTATTTCTAAGCCAGTGACCAAAAAGGCCAATTTTAAAATGTCCAAGATTTCCCCCCCCCCCCCACCTTCCCTAATTGCACATTCAGCTAGGTCTACTCACATTCTAATTTAGGACCATATTTTAAAACATCCATGCATGCAACACTCTCTGACATCAAGGAGGAGTGTACAGTATCATTCTTAAGAAATGCAGAATGGTGCACAACCCTGTGTGATTGTTACAGGCTAGTGCTCATCAATATTAATTCTTTGATGTGACAGTTCCTCCCTCCACACACACTTCCTTTCATGGAAATCACAGTGAAGTGTGATTACTCTGAAGTTCCCAGCAGACTCCAGTTTGGGTCACAAAACATTGAACATAGCTGCTGTTTTCAGAGCAGAACAAACAGAGCAGCCACAAGTAACTCAAGAGAGACTGTCATTACCAGTCATACATAGTGCTTGTTAAAAAGAAAGCACTAGGACATCACTCAGCAACTCCCTATATATCCATGGTCATGCACTGTTTTCCAACTGAAAGCAATTCATCAAAATACCCAGTATTAAGATTGGGTTAGAAACGTTGGCATTTTACAGCAATCCACTGATTCAGTGGATTTATCTCCATTATAATTTCAGCTGTAAAGTTCTGTGCAAACTACTGCTGCCCCTCTCAGGGCTCATGAGGAAGTTTTTGAAACTATTGTTGATATCATGAAATTAACATTTTATAGCCAGGGAAATTATAAGAAACAAACCATGTTTCAGTGTAACATTAACTACCCTTTATGCCAGCTTTTATTTCTTGGTGAAATTTATTAGTGTCAACTTATTGCTTTGAACGGTATCTGTTGATGTGTGTGTGTGTGTGTGTGTATTTTCTCACTCCACATCAACACTCATAGTGTATGTTCTATTATTTATCTGATTGAACAGGGTCATTTCACAACCTTTTATTATACATTTAGTTTTAGAAATGAGATTCAAATTCTGACAACATACTGTTAAGAGAACCATTTTAATTTTTGTAACTGAGAAGGGGCTGATCTCTTTATAAGGCATGTCAACTTTATTCTTACATATTTGTTTTAAAAAGCCAGATTAGACCACCCGAACTTTAATAATTTGCCCAATGTCTTAGATGCAGAGGGGAAAATATATATATATTTAAAACTTTGTTTCTGTATCTGTATCAGGTTAATTTGCTTAACTTGTACACAGATTACCACCTTTCATAAGAAACTACAAACATTATAAAATATAAACTGATATCCTGACTACTGTTATATCTTGAGATTTTAGCATATTTTAATGTACTTGTTCTTATATCTATCAAGCCTGTCCTTCCCTCCTCCTCCTCCTCCCCCAGTCATGTGCAGTTTATTATGAACATTTAAAACTTCAATTTGTACCTTAGTAAAACATTAAAATGTTTCCATTATTAGTGTATCAATACAGTAAATACTCACCTTTGAAAAACCACCAACAAGATACACCTAAGCAGGACAGTAGGCACCTGTTCAATTCACAAGCAATTGAAGAGTCATTACAAGTATCAAGTCCTGTGATCTGTATAATTATACCGTTGTTTCGCCCTTTAATATCTGTCAGACATATTTAAAAACATCTTTCCTTTTAGTTTGGAAATACTCCTACTATAATCACAGCAGAATCTTTCAGCAACTGAGGATGATTGGAAAGGCCCATTCAAAATATCCAATTACTTAGGTGAGTGCAGCAGATTGGAAAATAAAAAAAATATTCTGATTCTGCCATTATAATACTTCATTTTTGCATACAAAAAGTACCTTCATATTGAATTACATTCCTGCATAATGGCTTGTATTCAAACATTGCATAGTAGATACGCACCACAATATTGAGAAAGATACTGAATAATGTATGTATTTATGTAGTTAAAACAAAATCAGAATCCCAGTTGAGTAAATGGAATTTTGCTGTCGATTTAAAATAGGGTAAGTATTTGACCCTTCTAGATTAAGTAGCTGATTGAATCACAAAATTCAAATCCAGATTCAAGCTTCCCCAAATTTGAGTGTGTTCAGATCCAAGGTTTGGTTTTGTTCCGTTCCATCTGGAGGAGAGAACTCTGAAGTTCAAATATGGTTCTGAACTTCATAGTTAAAAGGAGTATTTGATTTGGTGTCCTTGTTTGGATCCATTACTTTTAAATTCAATAATAATTACTTCCAGACAGATCTACAAATATCTGAGAACACAGAACAACTCTCAGTGTTGTGAAAAGAAAGCCAACAAATGTCAATCAAGATGAGCTATTGGTTTTCCATATAACATGCAAGGAGATCTTACTAGGAAAGTTGAATCCTAGAGCACAGAAAAGGGATGACACCTAATGAAAGTGGCATCAATGCCATATCACGAAGAATAATATTTTAAGGACACTATCAAATTTTTTAGAAAACCATAGAAGCATCATGAATGGGCTTGTAACTGTGTATGATTTAATTTTTTTAAATGTTCTAAGAACTTTTCAGCACTTACACATGCAATACATGTATCACAAAGCAACATATGTGCAAGAGTGTAGTTAAATATAGTTTATCTAAAACACCTCAGACAATTGTTTAAATCCTCCAAGTAAAACTGACAAAAATAAAAAAAACACAAACACACAACCACCACTAATTTCCCTCTTGCTTCATTCAAAACCTTCATTTTCCAGGTCTGAGAAACATGCAGGGAGTAAAGCTGCCGGTCATGAATAAACACACAATATCCATTCATCCTTTCTGTGTAAGCCCTATTTTTGTGTATTTAATCATATGTAAAACTAATGAGTAATTTCAACAAAATATGCATTTATTCCATACATATTGTTGCCTACAACACTTTGAATACCACAAAGCAATACATTTTATACTTTTTCTTATGGTTTATTTCAGCTGACATTCCGGAAAGCTGTGTTATAAGGAGTAAAAACCAAACTGATTATGTGCACATGCAGACGGACAGTTCTCCTTGAACTCCAGATTTTTGTAACAAAGTAGTCAGCTGTTCTACAAACCTTTATACATCTTACAGGAATTTTACAGACACTGGGAGGCAAGTCTATCCCCATAGTCTGTCTCCCAATTACCACCATTATATATAAAATAAACAAACAAACACACACCACCAATAGTGGATTTTACCATAGAAACTCACTGGGGTACAACAGTCATACCTAAACAGAATATATAGAAATATACCAACTAAACACAATGATAGCCTCTTACAAAATACAATCTGTAGGTAACTTTTACCATTATACTGAAGTATAGATATTTCAGTTTTGTAATTAACAAGTTTAAGACAAAATCAGCTTCTAATATAATATATTCAAAAGCATAAGGTCTCAGTTATGTATACCAATAATAATGCATTCTCATGGACTCTAATGCACTCACACACCATCCAAAAACAAGCTTTAACAAGAATGCATCTGATAACATATCTGTGGGAGATACCATCATTTTCAAGAGCTGTAATTATGTCCACACATTTCTAAACATATATAGCATGAGAGAAAAGACAGTTTTCAGTTAACACTCTTTAAAAAAAAAAATCACTTGAAGAAAAGAATGAGCTTCTCTAAAGGGTTACACACACAGGATTACTTTAAGCCTGGCAAATATATTTTGCCGAGATTTTTTTGTATTTGTTTGTCTATGAGCAGATTATAGTTTTATAGGCAGAGATCCCAAATGTATGTGTGGAAGTACATGTATAGTCTAAAATGCAGGCTTACAGGAATATTTGAGAAATGGCTGAAATAATCTAAGATCTTGTAAAATTTTGGGAAACAATATCTGTGTATTTGTGTACTACACTGCAGCCAGTTTCCTGGGTAGAATAACTATTTAAATGAAAAGAATAACTATGCTTTAAGAACAAGATCACAATAATCAAATATTTTACTAAGGAGCACTCAGAAAAGCCATACTTAAGAAATGCAAACACCTGATTTCTTATGTTTACTGTTTTATATACAAACTTCGTTAATAAGGCTAACAGACAATTGTCCACGATAAACACATCAAGCAAAACAAACTTGCAAATACACTTGGCTGCCCTCAGTGAATGTTAGAGTTGTTCATTTGAATCCAAGGATTGCAGTTATTTCCTCTGAACACGTTGTTTTACTTCGATATTGAAGGATAGTTTAATCAGATTGGCAATTATAATAAAATATGTATAGCTGGTTACAACACTCCCAGCCCAGATGATGTGCTTATAGATGTAGATCATTTTATAAAATCTATTTGCATGTTAATGATTTTGAAATCTGATTTGTGATCTATTAATATTGCTACAACTATAGATTATAAACATGAATAAGGAGTTAAAATTCTTAACGTCTTTGCTAAACATCTGGTTTTATATTTGTACAGTACTTGAAAGTATTTTAATGACATTTTTGCTGTAAAAAGAAAAACCATCACTACAACTTGTAACGTTTAAGTCACAAAGCTCCTGTTGTGCACGTCCATCTCTGGGTGACTCACGTAGTATCGTACATCTACGTTACAGGTGCCCCTTGCACTGTTACAAGAGATCATGATAAAAATATTTTAGAAGTCACTGAAATAAACTCCCTTACCTTCTACACCTGCTTCAATCAGCCCAAATTGTTCCAACACTTTAACAAAAAGCACAATCACGATCAAAACTGCTATCATTTCAAGCCCTTCCAAGTTCATGGTGAGAGGTCATGGTCCGACCACAGCCACTGAGGAAAGTGCTCTTCTGCCTGGCTTTGTAAAGCCATTAAACTACATTAAGAAGGCTACTGCAAGAGAAGGGGGGAGGGGGGGAGGGAGGGAGAGAATGAGAGAGAGAGAGAGAATACATCCTGTCTACACTAACAGAGGCCAGAAGTGGCAGACGGATAAACTCAGGCCTGTCAGGATTATCTGTTTGCTCGTTATCACTCTGACACAGAGAGACAGCCATGCATGAAGTAAAGTGCAGATCACCCAAGGACCCAGGAGGTCACCGAGTAAATGTCCCCTGTAAAAATGACATGCCTAGAGTGATGCTAGACATCTGGGAATATGCTGCTTCTTGTGCCAGTGCTTCTGGTACTGTAGCATTGTTGTGGATATTCAGTTGCCTAGGTAACTGAAGCTAACTAATACGTGGACTCACATTGGACACTAAGGGACAAAAAGGCCTCATATCAAAATAAGAATGGGAACATGAAAATAATCAGGATGGCTGAATTAAATCTGAATGGCTTGAAATGTGTTTCTAGAAAACTAGTACTATATAGTCTCCTGTAAATTAAATCAAATTGTAGACAGATATTGTAGCTTAAGACTGGACTTTTCAATTAGTTTCTCTTGTCAAAAAGAGAGCCTAAGGATTATGAATTCACTGCTGTACCTACCAAGTATATTTATATTTTATTCCTGGAGTGTAGAGAGAATTATTTTTGCACTTTATTTTTTTTAAAAGTACAAACCTGTTCCATTTCATCCTTTTATCTTTCTTCATGTTTAGAGCCAACTTTGTGAGATTAAAGAAATTAAAAAGGAAAAAGGTAAAGGGAGCGTGAAGAGGGGGGAGGGAAAGAGTTCACTAGCAAAGCTTTTAGTGGTTTTGTTTGTTTGTTTGTTTGTTTGTTTGTTGAGAATTAGCTATACAAAGTATTTTCCACATGGTCAGCAGCAACACAATAACAGTGTGTTAACCATGGGATAGAATTACAGTGCTTCCACAGCAAAAGATATGGTGGTGCATTTTTATTACACCTTATCATATTGGCATTGTCACATACAGTGTAGCTTAAGCATGCACATACATTAGAAAAACTTGGGGCTGTATTATAGCACCGTGGGCAACAGTGCCCGGGCCAGGGCTGCAATAAATCTAAGCCTGCAGGCTGAAATCCCAGCTCCTGATGAAGTCAATGGCAAAACTCCCATTGACTTCAGTGAGACCAGAATTTCATCCCTAGTTTAAACAGGATCAAGGATTTTTTTAACATTTTGTTGTGAAAATGGTTAAGACAGCTAAGCTGCTGTTAGCAACAGTATAAGTACTAGTATATCACCAGTGCAATTGCATTGATGATGGCAAACTATGTGACACGAGTACTAATTTTCCCTAATGTAGACAAAGCCTAATGGTTTGATGAGCACATATCACTCTATGTTATCACCTGACAAGTATTATCTGCTGGGGAAGATCTCCTCTCCACCCCCAGAATGGTAAGGAGAAAAAAAAAATTCTGTGGAGAATCCCAAGGTACAGAGCTCCCTTTCAAAAGGGATTCACCTGAGTGCCTCACTGGTTGTCTTTCAAAAATGCTGCAAGGCTTAATAATTTTGAAAGAAATACCTTATCTTTGACTTTCTTCAAGCCATCTTTCCTTGAGTTGTTTGTACATTCTTTCCCCACCTCCCTTTTTCTCAGGGCAGGTGCTTTTCTAAAGATGTTCCACTTATGCTAAACTTTTCTTCTTCCAGGGCACCCTAGTAATGGACAAACAAGTCACAGACCCAACACTTGCTGAATTTGGGCTTTTAATTTGTTATTTAAACTGGTGGATTGGCAATCTTTGTTGCTTTGTGTGCTGTGCATAAAAAAAAAAAGATAGGTACAAAGTTATTTTGGATGCATATGAGAGAGACAAGGTGGGTGAGATAATCTGATATTCTCACATATGAATTAGTCTATCCATTCCCATGGATTATTTAATTAAAATGTGGCTGCTGAAAATGTTAAAATTGTATTGAAAAATAAGAATGTTATTTTTAATGGACTATCTTATTATGGGTAGCACCTGCAAGCCCCAACCAAAATTGAGTCCATGCTGTGCTACCCATTGTACACATGTAGTAAGAGTGTCTTTGGCCTAAAGAATTTTGTCAGTCTTGTCTAAATAGATTGTAAAGATGGAAGAGATAAAGGAAGAATTATTATCCCCCATTTTACAGATGGGGGGGGGGGAATCTGAGGCACAAAGACATTAAGTGACTTGCCCAAGGTCACCCAGGAAGTCTGCAGAAGAGCTGGACACTGAATCCAGATCTTCCAAGCTCAACTCCAGCAAATTAATGGCAACACCATCCTTGCTTATTTGTCCTTCACTTGTATGATGAATCAAAGTATCACCTATAACAAAATATATTCTACTAGGTTTTTTAAATTAAGAGTGCCAGTCCTCAATTCAGTGTCTTATAATATTTCTAATATTAAAAAACAAAGGAGGCAGAATTCTCTCCTCCTCCAAGAGAGAGCCTTTACACAGCATAAGGAGTAGTAGAGGGGCAAACAAAGAACAGGCTAGGCTGTTCACTTTTGAGACACTTGCTAATACAGCTACATCTGTTACTTAAACTTACCCATTTGCAAAAAAAATAGCGCACACACACAAACACAGGATGCAGTTTAAAATATAAATATTTGAAATCCAGTAGTAGTTCTAGCTTTAAAAAAAAAAGCTAAAACAAAACCATTACAAAAAACATTTGTATCTGTTTCTTTAATCCTTTGTATTTTAATCTTAAGTAAATAGTTAAGAATTGCAAATAAAATATTAAATCCTCTGATGCAGTCAATCATTATGAGATTTAAGATTTATTATGGGACAAACCTTACTGTTTTTACTCTCAGCCACCTGCTGCCAGCCTATATTTTAGGAGCTGCTATGATGGTGCTACATCACCCAGATATTTCCCCATCCTAGGAGATCTTCCACTAGCCCTTTCAGCCAGATTTAAAAAGCAACTTTCCATTGCAGCCTGTTGAGAGAACAGCTTGATCATTTGCCAAATCACAGGTTCAATCTAATCATATATTGCTTTAAATGGTTTATTAACTATCCTTTGGAAAAGCCTGTGCACCTGCAGTGATGAAGAGCTTGTACAGCATGCTATCATTTGAAAATGACAATTGTGGGTGTACCGAAAGTGGACTGTGCCAGGGATGGTGTTAAAATAGTTTTGGGGAAGAGGAATCTGTTTTACAACATGCTTTGGTTTTGTTCAAGTGATAGATAACCTCAAGTTTTGAGCAACAGAGGGCCCTGTGGCACCTTTAAGACTAACAGAAGTATTGGGAGCATAAGCTTTCGTGGGTAAGAACCTCATTTCTTCAGATGAAAGTAATGGAAATTTCCAGAGGCAGGTATAAATCAGTATGGAGATAACGAGGTTAGTTCAATCAGGGAGGGTGAGGTGCTCTGCTAGCAGTTGAGGTGTGAACACCCAGGGAAGAGAAACTGCTTCTGTAGTTGGATAGCCATTCACAGTCTTTGTTTAATCCTGATCTGATGGTGTCAAATTTGCAAATGAACTGGAGCTCAGCTGTTTCTCTTTGGAGTCTGGTCCTGAAGTTTTTTTGCTGTAAGATGGCTACCTTTACATCTGCGATTGTGTGGCCAGGGAGGTTGAAGTGTTCTCCTACAGGTTTTTGTGTATTGCCATTTCTGATATCTGACTTGTGTCCATTTATCCTCTTGCGTAGTGACTGTCCAGTTTGGCCAATGTACATAGCAGAGGGGCATTGTTGGCACATGATGGTATATATAACATTGGTGGACGTGCAGGTGAATGAGCCGGTGATGTTGTAGCTGATCTGGTTAGGTCCTGTGATGGTGTTGCTGGTGTAGATATGTGGGCAGAGTTGGCATCGGGTTTGTTGCATGGGTTGGTTCCTGAGTTAGAGTTGTTATGGTGCGGTGCATGGTTGCTGGTGAGAATATGCTTAAAGTTGGCAGGTTGTCTATGGGCGAGGACTGGCCTGCCTCCCAAGGTTTGTGAAAGTAAGGGATCATTGTCCAGGATGGGTTGTAGATCACTGATGATGCGTTGGAGAGGTTTAAGCTGAGGACTGTAGGTGATGGCCAGTGGAGTTCTGTTGGTTTCTTTTTTGGCCTGTCTTGTAGCAGGAGACTTCTGGGTACACGTCTGGCTCTGTTGATTTGTTTCTTTATTTCCTTGTGTGGGTATCGTAGTTTTGAGAATGCTTGGTGAAGATCTTGTAGGTGTTGGTCTCTGTCTGAGGGACTGGAGCAGATGCGGTTGTACCTCAGCGCTTGGCTGTAGATGATGGATCGTGTGGCGTGTCTGGGGTGGAAGCTGGAGGCATGAAGGTAGGCGTAGTGGCCGGTGGGTTTTCGGTATAGGGTGGTGTTAATGTGGCCATCGCTTATTTGTACTGTGGTGTCTAGGAAGTGGACCTCCCGTGTAGATTGGTCCAGGCTGAGGTTGATGGTGGGGTGGAAGCTGTTGAAATCGTGGTGGAATTCTTCCAGGGTCTCCTTCCCATGGGTCCAGATGATGAAGATGTCATCATTGTAGCGTAGGTAGAGAAGGGGCGTGAGTGGACAAGAGCTGAGGAAGCATTGTTCCAGGTCAGTCATAAAAATGTTGGCATATTGTGGGGCCATGCGGGTGCCCATGGCGGTGCCACTGGTCTGGAGGTATATAGTCGTCACCAAATTTGAAATAATTGTGCGTGTGGATAAAGTCACAGAGCTCAGCAACAAGTTGTGCTGTGTCATCATCATCAGTTGCTGAGCTCTGTGACTTTATCCTCACGCACCTGTCACGCCATCCAACCCTTCCTCTCATTCCCGACCCCCCCTCCCCAGAACCCTTGCCCCATGCAACCACCCCTTCTCCCTGTCCCCGGACTGCCCCCCGCTGCCACATCCGCCCCCCCCTCCTTCTTGACTGCCCCACCGGGACCACTGCCCCCATTCAACCCCCCTGTTACCTGCCCTCTGACCACCCCAACCCCTTTCCACACACCCCC